ACGTATAATTAAGTGTCTCTTGCCCTCCTGCTTCCTCACATAAACAGTGATAGAGTTAACACTACAGAGACATCCATAGTCTCAGACTTCAGTCATGCGCGTCCTTTAGGTTCCTGGGCCTTTCATGCTTCCATTTCTGCCTGAAATCCTTTGTGGAAAAACTAGGGCATCAAGAAATGAAAGGATTATTTAAAGAAAGAAATATGTCTTCATTCGAGCTTTCTTATCAGTCGAGAAGTAGGCATTTAATTACTTACTATGCAACAGGCTGGATGCTAAGGATACAAATGAATAAAACTATATGAATATTCCTATCTGGATATTCCAGCTTTTCTTGACCTTTATGACATCTTTGTTGATCATATATCTGTATACTGGTGTCTTTCATCCTAGATGTGTATGCATTGAAAAATGCGTACATGTAGGCAAACTGAAATCAGGGAAGAATATTTTCATAAATTATTTTCAACCTGTTAAAATCTTTTGAGCCTCTGCACATAGATTGTGTTTACATGACAATAAACGAGCCTTTTATTGGAAGAAACTAGCCAAAACATATGCTTGTGAATCACAATATTTTGACCCAAGAAAAAATGTTTCTACCCTTTTCCATCTTCAATTTTTTTTTTTTTTGCCATATCGGAGTTTTCCAAATGAAGTGTCTCAGATAGGTTGTCTCCAAGTCAGTTCACCTCTATGAGGCCTCAGTCAGTCACCAGTGGACGGCCCCATCCTGCCCTATTTACCTTTAGCCTCCCACACACAACAGATATGTTCCTTTGAGGTTGGATGTTTATGAATTTGGTAGAGATCCTTTTGAAAACTTAAAAGTTCTTTTGAAAGGTGAGTATATCTCCGCAATTATAGTAACTGCTGTGGAACTAGGGACAGTTACTGCTTAAAGCAACCTGTACCTGCTTAAAGCAACCTGTATCTCAAGTAAACAATTAGCAGGGGGAGGTGGTCAAAGCTGCACTATACTTTTGAAAACATGACCCAATGTCATGCATAGAAACAAACTTCCCAAGACCTGTGCCCGATGTTACAGCTAACCCATCTGAGCACATGAAAAATACTGGCCCTTTGATTGGTATCATTTTCTTCATTATTATGTCAGTATTTATTTCTGTGGAAATCGTAAGTTCCTAGAGAAAGTACAGCCTTGAAATAGAATCATCTTCAGGTCAACTTACTAGACCAAGGGAAGCAGGTGTTTGTGGGAATCCTTAAATGCTGAAAAGCTATATTCGATTGAAAGATAACATTTCAGAGCTCTGGCAAAACCAAAACAAAGCCAAAAAACAAGTCTGCCATCATTATGTGAATTTTTTTTCAATTATGCTTTTATTTATGCATCTACATGTTTTTATTGTTACCTAAATAAGAAACTCTTCATACATTTAGGTTTGGATTCTGGAAATGTTCCACTGAGATTCCTGGTCCCGATTGTGTGATGGCTGTAATTTGTGAAATCTAGGAGGGGCCGAATGGTTATATTGGGCTTCAGTCTGAAGAACTGTTTTAATAGGAATTTTATATGCAAGGCTAATGCTGATCAACAGAGCATAATATTGTATCTTGAAATGTGCTCGTGAAAACAAAATTAATTTTTTTCTTCTTCTTTCTTTCCTTCTCCCAAACCATCTTCTGCCGTAGCGACTGCATTTGCCTCCAGACTTGTCAGACACAGTGAGCCGCTCAAGCAAACCGGATCTGGCAGACTCCACCAAGCTGCTGGGCCCAGGCTGTGGCACGATGGCCAGAGGCAAGAAGCACCTGGACTTCTAGATGCCTCCCTAGTTGTTGCACGCAGAATTATGACACTCTAATTATGAGTGCTAAGAGCTTATGTAAATATTTTTCTTAACGATCTGACCCTCCAATTCTTGAAAAACACAGGATTGCAAAATGATGGCCCCAGTCTTCATTTTTTTAAACCAAATTTTTGTACAGAAATAATACAGAAGAAATACTTTCATTTTAAAAATGCGTTTTATGCTACCTCTAAGGAAAATAGGCACTTTTATTTTTAAATAAAATGTCAAAAGTTCAAGATGCCACACAGTGGTCATGGCTGTATATTTATTAAGGCACTTAGCTCACGGTAAAGTGCGAGTCACAGAGGGGGTAGCGTATAAAGCATTCTGAAATTCAAAATTGTGTATGAAAAACATATTTTCTCTTTCTTAAAAAGTCACTTGCCACCAAAAATGCTAAGCTTTATAAAACATTGAAAAATGTGTTTGCTAATATATGAAGACCAATAATAAAATGAATTTGCATTTATGCATCCTATGATTAAATTGATGAAGACAAAATAATATTTTGGGATTAAGCTCCATTAAAGGTAATTAGTCTGCTGTAGTAGTTAATGAATATAAAGGACTTGAGTGCTAGAAAGCATAGAGAAAGAAGTTGATGGTCTTCTATTTAGTAATCTTAAACATTTGAAGTCAGCACTACGAGATTATGTCAACACACATAATTTGGAATTGAAATTCAAACTGACAGCTACATTCATGCTAGGAAACTGGGGAAAACATGTATGGAAGCTTGGTGAGGGATTTTTACAGAACATAGGGCTGAGACAAAGCAGAAAACGAGCTAACATCCTGCATCAGGTAAACTCTTTGTTAATTATGAACATTGGGCACTTACATTTATAACCATATAGACATGTATTTGGGGTTTATAGCATACTGAACCAGTTTTCATATGAAACACTAGGATTTTGAATCATAATTCTATACTCTCACTGCTTTTGATAAATAGTAGACCAAAAAAATTTGTTAAGTAATTTGCACAATTTAGTAAAAAGTTTCAATTTTTTAAAGCTATTTAAAGCTGTTACAACCTAAATTTCCAAAATACATTTTCAAATATGTTAGAGTATTTTGAAGCAGTTTTATAACTAGCATTTTAAGTAGTTTGCTTTTAATATACCACAAATTACACTTTATTTGTTCTTGACAACATTGTAGAAAACAAAGACTAGGTTTTTAAACTGTCTAACCAATCTGATGAATGTCAGTCACTTAAAAAAAAACCCACTGTAGCATAAACACACACTGTATACAGCTTTTATTCAGAATTAGAATAATTGAATCAATGACAGTGATTCGCTAGGATGTCAAATCTCTCCATCAGATCCTGTCACTACCAGTTTATTTTTTGTGATCAAAATCAAAAAGACAACTATTTTGTCACCCACTATTTCATTAGTACTAAAAATCAGATTTCTTTTTTTCTTTTTTTTTTTTTTTAGAATGTCTGGTTTATTTTTTTTTCACTTCTTTTAATTCAAGAGACACAAATTCTTTCCCATTTTCATTTCAAAATAAAGTTTCAGAATTGATCTGTCAGTTAAAATTAGAGGGCTTTTTATATTAAGCAAAGATGCTTTTAAAATTTAAAGCAACTTCAGAAACTCAATTTAGTCCATAGATAATAAAGCATGTGCAGTTACTCCCCAAAAGCTTTGCTATATCCTTTGAAAGCATTATGAACAGTCTGAATAAGTTGAAATGACTAGTTTTGGCTGGTTATTATTTTAATAACTCTAACCTTTTTCTTACCGTGTTGTGACTCATTTATGCAAACACACAACGGAACAATTACATAGCATTGGACTCTGAAAAAAAAATGTGAGGTCATCAGATATGTAAATTGCTTGTCAAAAATACTTAATAGGTCATTGATTTACTACCCTGGCTACCATGTCCATAAAATTAGCAGCCAATTACTGGTTAATGTATGCTTTGCAAACAGATAAATGCTATAAAAATTGAGCATATTTGATCCCAACTTATTTTAAATATAAAAGAAACTTTTCAAACTCAGTAAAAGTGCATTTTGAACAATAGTACTTGGGCCTTCCAAAAATTAGATGCAAGTGTTTGGTTGTTCTGATTCACTAGGCAGGCTTTGTAAAAATTAGCTACTGAAGAGGGATGCATATTTTTGTTTTCCTCTGATAAAAATGTATTTTCCTTCTGGAAGCATTATCCAATTAGTCATATGTTAATAATTTACTACATAAAAATATCACTGATGCTACTATAGGTATATGGATCATTTTTGATACATGATGAAATATACATTCTATAAACAGATTTTTTCAGTTATTACTTGTCTCAAATACTTATGTAACAATGGCAAGCAGAGTTTTTTTAAATGTTTCTAAAACTTCAAAACCCTCTCTGGTATTCATTTCTTATGCTACATTTGCCTTTTTTTTTTTTTTTTTTTTTTTTTTTTTTTTTTTGGTGAGGTAAATATTTTGACCACTGCAGTCTGCTCAGATCCTGGTGTTCTAAGACCTTAGGAATTACTTTCTGGTAACCACCAATTTCCACTTTTCTCTTTCTCTCTTCCATTTATTCTTTATTTGTACCTCTGGGATATGCAATCACTAACACTACACAAAATAAAACTACTTCAAAAGAAGCAACACTTGGCAATCAATTCCCTGTCTTTCTTTTAATTTTAAAGAATCAGACACAGGCATCCACATACAAAAGGAAAATGGGGGTGGGGTGGCCCCTATTCATTTGTTTAAGTCCATTATGAATGTCATTTCTAAACATCATGTAATGCCTTCCATAGATAGTCACCATCAACACCATCAAATTTAAGCAAGACTAACTTTAAATACTTATACTCTGAACTTTAAAACTGAGCAGAAGTGATGCACATTTTATTGGCCCCTGTTTCTCTCCTAAGCCCTTATAAAAAAAAAAAAAAAAAAAAAAACCAAAGAAACAGGTGAGGTTTATTCTGGAGAAACAAACAAAGGAAGAATTTGTGTTTGGTCTTGGTGAGCCAGACATTCAAAGAAGAGCCTTCTTTTTATAATGTTGTTAATGTGAAGGCCTAAGGAAAACCAAGAAGCAGAAGAATATAGATACCACCCTAAGATGACAAAAATTCACACACACAAAAAAAATGCTGAATTTTAACAAATACTGTATCTCAGGAAACTGGTTATGATTTTTTTTTTAAAGCAGGAGGAGATGAGTATGTGAGCCGTATCAAGAAAAGTCAGTGGGTCACCACGTAAGAGTCAGGAGGTACAGCTTTGAAGGGAAAATATTCTGGAAATTTCTTGTAGTAAAAAAGAATTTTTTTACTCAGTAACCTGAATGTTTCTTATTCAAACATTCACCTCTGATTCTGTTCACCTGGTCTCCCTAAGCCAGCCAAGTTTGGAGGAAAAGCATAAGCTGTTAGTCGTGTGGTTCTACTGAGGACACCCCAAATACCAGGCCACCGTCCTGGAAGATGGTGTCAAAGCCTCCCTGCGGAGTTCCCACCAATACATACATACATACATACATACAAACATACATACACACATACATACATACATGCGCCCAACTGTAAATAAACAGTTTCAACAATGAGTCGAAGGCAGCCTCCTGGGCATTGCTTCCACACAGTGCTGGCCATGCTGTCCCCGGGAGGGTGCCCAGAGCTGCATTCAGGGTACCGCTCATCTCCCCAGGGTGAGAGCAGAAGGCAGGGCAGCCTTGCATCCTGCTGGATCAGAGGCCTTCTGCAGCTGAGCAGCCTCTTCTTCCAACTCAGCCAGGCCGTGCCACTGTGCCCTGAAAATCTAGTCCCTCAGAGGTCACGGCCCCAAGTGCACATGCACCGACTCTCCACTCCCTCGGCACTCCCCTTCTCCCATTCCCAGCTCCTGCACCCAAGGGCCACCAGTTCTCCTAAGTCTATAGTCTACACAACAGAGCCATGGGCCAGAACTGGTTGCCTAACCCTGGCCCAAATCATAGCCAGTTGGAAACCGTCCCCCTTCTTCCAGGGAAGAAGCCAGGCAGCGGCTGCAGCACACACCACACGTAGCCCTTCCGACAGTTCCCTGGATACATGTCCCTCTGGGAATGAGGGCTGTGAAATGTCAGGAGGTAGAAACACCTGCATGGGCAATTGTACCAACAGTGCATATGTCTGCACATGCCACTGCAGAAGTGTGCAAGCATGCAGTGCAGACTGACATTGAATCAAACTACACACACACACATGAAAAAGCTACACTCAACCTAGGAAGGTGTCTCTAAATGCACAGCAACTCTGGTGGAATAAAAGCATTAACACATAGCATGCCAGATAGATGAGTCACAATGATCTGTTCACAAGTGACTCCTTCACGAGAAAACAGGAGATGTGGAGGTAGAAGGTTGTTTTTTTAAAGCCTCCAATTAATTTCTATATTTCTGATCATTTGCTTTTGGGGGGTTCAAAACATAACAAAACAAATAAAAAGCACAGTACAATTCAGAGGAAGTGGGTCTTTGTCCCCAGAGGTTTCTGCCTGTGCAAGCATTTAATCTAGACTGCCAGGACCCCCAGCCTTTGATGGAAGTTTGCAGAAGGAAACATCTATATTGACTTATGTGTTGCACAGAACATACAGAAATAAAAGTCTCCGACAGGTTTTCAGAACAACAAAGGCTTATTTTCTTCCATCCTTTGCTTGGGCTCAAGCACTCCTGCCCTGCGTGCCGCCACTTTAAACATGATCAGATCTGTGCTTCATTGCAAATAACAACTGACCAACAATGGGCCCTGCTTCATAGATTTGGGAATGTTTGGCTTAAGCTGCCAATGACTGAAGGCCTTTAACTCCCACCGGCCAGTCACAGTCTGCTTTGTTGTTGTCTGTTGATGTGTCTGTGCTCATTATTCCTTGACATGCAACATCCCCCCTCCACCCTCCAACCATCCACAACCGCACAGAAAGGGAGATTCAAATGGGAACAGCTGTAGTGGTTCAATGGGGAATGATGCCTCTGTGCAAAGGGGAGGGAGAGAGAAAAGGGAGAAAGGCAACAGCTTTCAGAGGGTCTTGTATAAGAAATCTACTTTTGAATATACTTCAGTGAAATCGCTGTTGAAATAGGCTGACAATGGAAATCTGCCCAGATTGAATATGCCAGCCCTAATTCAAAAGACAATTCTTAGTTAATAGCTTGTTGCAGTTTTAAAATTATTTCTAGACTTTGAGCTTTTGGATGAAATGGCTAGCTGGAAAATGTTTCCATTAGTATGTGTGTTGTGGGCATAAATGGGCACAGATCTACATGCAGCTTCGAGTAGATTTTTTTTCTAACACATTTCTGATTTATGATATCTTTAAGAATTATTTCTTTAAAGATCATCAGGATTTAAAATAAAGAATGTATGAAAGTAACCATTGGTTTAGAATGTTACTCCAACATGGGAACAAAATTTGTAACACAACACTATAAGGTTAAAAAGAAAATAGTATAATAAAGGAAATACAAAGGCTTTGGCATGGTTTTTACAATCAACAATGGTTAATTTTGATATGTAGTTGTGAACAACTTCAAAACACTTAAGTTTAAAACTCTTGCAAGCACTTTTAATTGATTAGGAATGAATTCTAGATGCACAAAATGATTGGACTGTGAACAGTAATACAACTATATCTAAGAACAATAAACTTTTGCTGGCCAAAAAAGAAACGCGTGATTGCATGAAAATGTGTATAAAACATCTATAGAGTATTCTTGTCAAATATAAATGAAATTAACTTTATTATAGAAATCATTCTGAGGATTTCTAGGGAAGACAAATACTTACATTTTGACATAAAACAAATTGGATTATATCGAAGACACACTCTACCTTTTAGCTATCAACTTTTTTCTTCCTTGAATTTATATCTTACCCTTTTTTGCACATAAACTTCATCTGTTAACAACCTTTGGAAAACCAACAGATATTTCTTACATAAATTGAGTGCATGTTGTTCCAGGTTTAATTATATGCAAAGGAATGATTCAAACTTGGAACCTCAGTCCATAAACTATGAACAGATAGATGGGTAGAAGTAGTCGATATATCTTGATAAAATTCTTAAATTCATGGCAAAGCTTGTTGATCATGGTTTCCTTTTTTTAAAAAAAAAAAACAACTTCATGACCAGCACAGATCAAATGTCCATCCAGTCTACGTTGTTCTTTTTTTCATTATTACAAATGCCCATTTACAAATAATACACCAAAATGAATAAAAGTTTGGATACCAAAATGAAGATTTGTTCCAACTGATCTCGTGCCTTCTGTATACAAAGGTCCTTGTTCCAAGTCCGTCCTCCAGTGGTACCATACGGGACATAATCGCAGAACCGAAGTGCTACTAACAGCCATTTTCCTTTCCTTCCTGAACGCCCCACTGCGGTGTCCACATCGTCACTGACTGAATTAACACAATATATTTTTTTCTTTCTCTCTCTTTTTTTTTTTTTTTACTGTAATCTTGGCCAATACTGAGACATATCAGGTTCACTTCCAGGAACTTGAACTGGAACTGACACACCAGGGGAAATGAGTCCTGGAAGTGGATGAAAAAAATAGCCATGTAGATATTCCCTTTGAGAGACAGGCAAGGAGTATGACTTCATAGGTTCAAACAATGAGCTCTAATGCATTCTCACATTTGTACTGTGTTTTCATATATCTTCAAGTGTTACAAACCAAAGTAGCAGCTTCAGAAGCCACATACCATTTTGACACACCCCTACTGAATCCCAAGTCCCCTGTGCAAAAGGAAAGAAAAAGTGCCCCATTGGTTGGTACGTTTGGAACCTCATGATAAAACTATCTCTGGAAAACCAATGTGGTACGTCAGTTGCAATGAGAAGCACAGAGGGGCTAGCGGGGAGAGAAATCTTCCAGGAAGCACTCACCGCGCAGCTCAGGGAGCCCTCACTGCTGAACTTCGGCTACTGATAGCTCCTCCGAAACCTTACATTCGCAGGCCTTGGCTCTACCGACAACCTCTGTGACCAAGCTCAGGAAGAACAACTTTGCTTTCTGTCTGTACGGTGTCAAGTTACTAACTAGGTTGGCTGAATTTCCCTTTTCAATCAGTTTTCCCCAGAAAAGCAAGCAATAAAGAGTTAAACACACCATCACACAAGGCCAGGAGGTAGGTTTTGTGTGTGTGTGTGTGTGCGCGTGTGCGTGTTTGTGTGTGTGTGTGTGTGTGTGTGTGTGTGTGTGTGTTTTCTTTAGGTCAACTTTGAGTGAAGGGAGATCACCTGGCAAAAAGAAACTCCTAAGGCCTCCTCGGCGCAGCCTGAGGAGCAGCGCTCACCTGTGGAAGTGGTGCCGGAGGTGCCCATTGGCTGACTGTTCATGTGTGTCTGCATATGTGGGGGGGTATAGGTATCATAACTCCGCCCATTCACCGAAGGGCTGGTAGGCAGCATGCAGGAGTACGAGGACGTCTGGCTGGGGACTGGGGGCTGAGAGGAGAAAGGCAAACCTGTGGTTACAGAGAAACACATCACACAGCCACATCCCTAAGCTCCTTCCTCCCCAGAAACTCTGCCAACAGCCCTGACCATTAAAGACGTCCTCATGTAAAGTACTGGAAAATTCCATGTGGAAACTCTTAAGATCAGGCCTCCAACTAGTCCTTCCATTGTCCACTGCTCAAGTAAAATTGCCTACACACCAAACTTCTGAAAGTACTACAACCCAGCTGGCATGGCTCAGTGGTTGAGTGTCAGCCTATGAACCAGAAGGTCATGGTTCAATTCCGGGTAGGGGCATATGCCCAGGTTGCAGGCTGGATCCCCAGTGTGGGGCATGCAGGAAGCAGCCAATCAATGATTCTCTCTCATCATTGATGTTTCTGCCTCTCTCTCCCTCTCCCTTCATCTCTGAGATCAATAACAATATTTTTAAATAAATAAGTGTACTACAAATTTAGACAACTGCCCAGGTAGGACTTTTGTCCATTTTTATCTTGGATCTCTACTGACATCTTTAGAGAAGCTATGGCATGAAGACTTTCATTAACACTCATCCTTTCTTCTGTAAATCCAATCTATTTGAGAACCCAGTGACCCCCAAAGCCCATATCTCAAGCTTTGGGACAGAGAGCAGTGGAAGGAGCTCTCTATAAAGTTGGGTTTGGGGACTTTGGGAGCCTTTCATGGTTGGACTCATGGGATTAAAGACTCTTTGAAGAGGCAGATCAGTAATCATCTATATGAAAGTGGTCAGAAGTATCAAAAATACCTAGCCCCATCCTAAGAATTAGCTGAAACTTCCTTACAGACCCACAAACCCAGACTGGGTTTTGTCCTTAAAATTGTGTTGCTACCCTCTAAATGTGTACAATGGTGATATAAAAGAGACGAGCCTTTCTCCTAACTAAATGAGAAATACACAGAACTGGGGCAAAACTCCTCATGAACTCCCACCGACAGAGAACTTGGGATGAATTAATAGAAGCATGACGTCAGAAACAAGGGAGATGATAGTAGTATTCTACTCTGCGAACTATAGAAATGTTTAACATCCCAACATCCACAGTCTCGGAGAGCATGACACATTAAAGAAGCTTCAGAGGAGGACACCCAATCTTTTTGTAAAATGGTGGAAGATTTTGGTCAACATGACGAAGTGATGGACAGACAGACTAGCTCCCCACATATACCAACAGCCCCTGCCCCTGCTCCAAAATTCAAAGAGTAATTTTCTCTGAATAGAATCATTGATATTTTTATTTTCTTTAGGCTTTATGAATGCATGTATATTTTGGTTGGATAGGTTGTGTAATTTTTTTAAAGTCAGTGAAATCAATTGACCCATGCCAGTTTACATGGGTACACATTTGGTTATCTTCACAGAAACCTAGATGTTGCTATAATTTACAAAACTGAGCAAGCTACTAAGTGGCCTTACTAACGTCGGAGGATGACTGCTAACAGCAGGTTCAAAGAGGCAAGCAGGCCTTGAGGGCCCTGCCAGAATTTCAGCTTGCATTTGTTTCTAATTCCCAAAATCACTTCCTCCGGGCAATCAGACTTCTGGAAAATTCCAAGGCAGTTGTAGTAACACCAGCTAATGGGCTGTTAATCCCTTAATTTACAATAATTACACAATGGCCAATAATATCCAGGTGCAATAAAAATAAACATGGAAATAATTCTTCTGAAGTTGCTTATCTAGCTGTTCCTGTATTAGTCTGAAGACTGTGAAACATTTATTTTGCTGTTATTTGGACTAGAAACCCAGCAAAAGATATTCAGTGGAGAATAAACACTCTGTAACCACAGAACTGTTTCCAGAGGGGCTCATGCTGGTCAATCTCACACCATTGGCATCTGTAATTGTTGCACAGACAGGAGTCCTAGGAAAGTCACTGCAGAAGGCCACCAGAAGACCAGTTTTCCCCCATCCAGAATCCAATCAGCTGCAAAGTTCTAGTACATCCCACCTGCACTGTACAATTCCATCATAAAGGCTCAACCTGCTGCAGCAGTGATGGCGAACCTTTTGAGCTCGGCGTGTCAGCATTTTGAAAAACCCTAACTTAACTCTGGTGCCCTGTTACATATAGAAATTTTTTGATATTTGCAACCATAGTAAAACAAAGATTTATATTTTTGATATTTATTTTATATATTTAAATGCCATTTAACAAAGAAAAGTCAACCAAAAAAATGAGTTCGCGTGTCACCTCTGACACGCGTGTCATAGGTTCGCCATCACTGTGCTACAGGGTTTAGCATGTGTAGGGGCTGATAAATATTTGGGACAGAATTGAGAGTAGGTAGGGACAGGTTGTTATACCAAGCAAATAGCATCAACCCAGGCAGCTCGGAGTGTCACAAACTCATCACATAATTTTGGCAAAAACACACTAAATTTCCAGCCAATACCTTCTATAACTTTTCTTTATTGTAAGATGTACAAAGAAAACTACTTGTTTCTCTATATTAAGCATATACCACTATGCAAACGTGAATCCTATCTCTGACCCATTTTATCTTCCTCACTAGTTTATCACATATAATGCCCAAAATCCATACACAGATTATATATCCTATATAATAAAACCCTAATATGCAAATCAACCGGACAATGGAACAACTGGTTGCTATGACACACACTGACCACCAGGGGGCAGACGCTCAATGTAGAAGCTGCCCCCTTGTGGTCAGTGAGCTCCCATAGGGGGAGCACTGCTCATGGCTGGTGAGCGCTGCAGCAATGGCGGGAGCCTCTCCTGCCTCCGTGGCAGGTGGCCATCCCCCAATGTGGGGAGAGAGCCTTCGAATGGCGGGAGCCTCTCCTGCCTCCGTGGCAGGCGGCCATCCCCCAATGTGGGGAGCGAGCCTTCCCCCAAGGGGTCCTGGACTATGAGAGGGCGCAGACCGGGCCTCTAGTCTATTATATGAACACATTAATATAAACCCCAATTTTATTTCTAACCTCTTACTATCTAATAATATGCCAGCATTATTTCCATTTTCCAGGACAAGTTTCACTGACATCTAAAACATGCCTCCTTCCCACCCACCATTATCAAGCTAACATTCTCTGTGAGCAATAAGCAGATAAACTTGACTGAACAACAGGTTTTTATATTTTTTTAAGGGCATGAATGAATCAATCAACTAAAAACTGGATTGACTGTTTTCATCTCAGACTAGACTGGGCAAGCCAATTACTGCAGTGAGAAAGGCTCCCAAGGGGGCGTACAAGACCAGTGAAGTCTGCAGGCCCTGACCCACTCCCCACCTCCGCTAAGCAGGCAGCTACAGGCCTCACTTACTTGCATAGGCAGGTTATTGGCCATGGTGAAGCTGGGCATGGGTGGCAGAGCGCTATACGTATTGGTGAGGGCTGTGTCTGTTCGGCCCAACATGGAGCCCGATGTGAAGGAGGAAACTGCAGGGAAAAAGACACAACCAACAGTCATGTTGAGAGTCAGAGTTCAGGGCAAGCGGGTTTAAACAGATGTCTTAGTAGTATTAACACTTCACATTACCAGGCGTGGTGGGTTGTGGGATTGGTTGGTAGACACTGGTGCTGAAACTACTGCTGATAGGGATATGACTAGGTGTGTTGCTGGCCTGTCTTCTCTGATTCCTCAGTTTTTCTTCTCTTCTCCATTTGGCCCTTCGATTAGAAAACCATACCTGAAATCAGACAGAACAGGTTAGCCCCGCACCCACCTCCGGGCATTTCCGCTGTGCCCCTCCCCCCAATGGTGGCAAAGTATTCAGCACACTGAATCTGTTACTATTTATATAAATGAATGAAGTTCCTTAGAAGCACTTTTGTCTCTAGAAAAGGCAAACAGTTTGAATCACAAAGCATGAAACCACAGGGAAGCTGGGTACCTGTATTCTTGCTTCAGGTAGATCTATTTTGGCTGCTAGTCTTTCTCTGGCAAACACATCTGGATAATGGGTCCTCTCAAACTCTGAAAGAGTAAGTTTTCTTTGTTGTGCCAGAAACACGTCAACCACATCCTGAATCCAACTGGCTCCCACTTCCAACCAATTTCTTTTAAAATGCTACTACTGTTGGAGGAACTATCCCACCAGAACCAAGTTACATTTTCTTTGGAATAACATTCATTCAAGGACTCTTCTGTGGGCTGAATTAGCCAAATCATCTTTTTTTTCAGTATAAGTCAGACTTTTACTCTTTGAATTACTGGTACATGAAAAGAAAGAAGAAACACACACACACAACACACACACACACACACACACACACACACACACACACACACACACACACACTGAAAAGATGCCCAGAAAAAAAAAGAGACAAAAAGGAAAAAGGAATCTTTTCAGTCCTCTATGCAAAGGGCCCTGGCTAAATTTAGCTCTTTGTACTGAAGATGTGACATTTACTTTGATTTACTGCTTCTCTACTTTGAAAAACTCCATCACCTTTCTCCAGGGCCTCAATTTGCTCTTGGGTAAAGGATGTTCTATTTCTTTGTAGCTTCCGCTTCAGCTGAAGTCGCATTTGGGCTTCATCTGAATCTTCTCCATTGGAACTGATGGAGTTGGTATTCTCTCCCCCTCCTTCCTGTTGCTGGCAGCCATCTGGAACAAAAAGAATAGGACAGTATGAGAAATTTGGAATAACTCGGGGCCTCCAAAGCAGGTCTGGTATAGCCACAAACTCCAAGGGCTGTATATTTAGACAGTCTTATGAAAACATTCCCAAGGGATGTTTCTTTTTAACAAAAGGCATTTTGGACATACAATACCTGACCTTTTTTTTTTTTCTTTCTGTTTTCATCAAGATGAACCCCACCATACAATATAGATACTTAAAGAGTAACATTTCTTCGAATGACAAAATAAGTGCTAAAGTTTCTGATTAAAATTATCTTTCATAACTAAACTTGACTCCCCA